CACACACACCCACACACACCCACACACACACACATACACACATACACACACACGCTGTCTTTGGTTCGCCGTGATGGTTTGACTTATTTCTGTATAAGTAAAGATGCGTTAGTTGTACATGCATTCCCTTGTGTGAGTAATGTATGTCGTGCTCTTACTTAGAGTGTCCCCATGCAGCCAGGTTGGCCCTGAAGCGGAGAGTCAAATCTGTTAACCTCTCATAAGATCCCAATATGTGATGCAGCGTGTTGGAATCAGGCTCTCGTCACTTTTTGGGCCTGTAGAGTTATTGGTATCATCTTCAAGCTTGTTCACTTGTCTTTATTTGGATGAAAAAAATGTCCATTTATCTCGAATACAAGTCGAGATATTGGCGAATGAAGGAGTTCGGGGTCACCTGTTTTCAGAGGTAAAATTAGTGAGAAAATGGTCGCCAAAGTTTGGTTATTTCCTTAGCTTAAGAGGCCGTGGTAACTGAAAATTTCCATTCTTTGTGCCTTTAATCAACGTTTTTCAGAATAATCCACACAGAAAAGAGTTCTTTAATGGGAATTAAAGGTGTAGAGCCAAAAAACAAAAACAAAATTGAAAAAAATTCACAAACCTGAGGAAAAATGCAGGTTTCTTCAATTTGATTATTTTGACGAGAACCTGATTCCACCACGCTGCCTCACATATACTGTTTTAGGTAGGCGGGGTTGTTGGGATGGGGAAGCGGAGTTATCAAATAGTTTCTAACATCTATCAAGTCGAATGGCATTACGGTGATGTGTTAGAGCAGTAAGTCTATTATTATGCATGGAACCTTATCAATGCACATGGACAGTTGGAACAGTTTCGGTAAATGTTCGTTTTTCCACTGTAGTCATACTATTCAAAGTGACAGCAGTAGGTTCAGTGTGAACATTCGGACGAAACGATTATTGCTTTATTAGTTTGATTATTTAGTGTGACTGCCATGTTAAGGTTATCTTATTTTTGGCCATTGGCCATTGCTATCAAAAATACGTCATCTGATTAGATCTCGTGTCAAAAGGTGCACATGGCAATGTCAGCGATTTTCACACGTATTTATTATAAAATGCCATGATTTTAGAGTTTGAAAGCACTGATTGACATCTATGACGACACCAGAACTGTTTAGATTAGAGACTAAAAGAGATGTCAAGGAATGGAGACAAATGGTGACTTTGAAAGGTGGTGTGTGGGGGGGGGGGAGTACCTCATTCCCCCCCCCCCTCTATCCCTGTACTCATGTATGGATTTTGTTCATTCATGCACTATGCCTAATCACGGCAGTTTAATTTTAACTATCTACTTTTTCGCGACATAACCCTAGACATTTGTTAAAAACAATCTTCGCAATAATATGTAAGCATCCGGACTGTTTGTTCGTTTTTACCTACTAACCTTATTTCTACACATTTAGAAGGATTTTTTTATCACTGAAAGCAGGTAATTAGGTTTTCTTGATTAAATCTAGCATGTTTGAATGGCTAGGAAAATAAAACTAAACAGTTTGAGAGTGTGCAGGGGATGGCAAAGTTTGGTAAACGGTCGTCTCCGGAAGATCAGTTCACTGTCCCTATAATCAAACAAAAATTAACCTACAGTGAATTATATGTCTATAAACTAGAATTTAATCAATACAGAAAAACGCTTTTACTCCTAGACCTGCTCTGTTACTCAATTTTCAGGCCTGACAATGAAAGGGTTAAAGACCCACAGAATTTAAAGTGAAGATTCTGAAACTGGATACTGCAACCCTAGTCGAGAGGGATCTAAATCTGTTATCGTCTGAAAAATCACTTACTGCGCAGATACTACCAGTTAGATTCTCGGTAGAGGATTCAGTTAGAATTCTAATCCGTTATTTTGTTCTGCATGTAGAATAAATTTTATTTTATTGACAGAGAGAATGCACACACGAGGCTGAAACCTGGCTCTTCTCTTTGTAGACTTGTAACAGACAATGCAGCACTAGTTAACCCTTTTTTCAAGAAGTGTGAGATAAAATAATTTTAAAAGATAATCACTGCCTTCGAATCCTTGGAAGAAAGTTTAATCGCGTATCCTGTTCTATTTGTAGGGATGTTGTATGTTGTATCGCTCTCAGCCCAGGTCGGCCAGGGCAGAGTACGGAAGCCTGTCTCCTGAATGGGCTAAATAATTGTGTAGTTGGGGCCGAAAAAACACCTGCATTAAAAATATAGGTCACATAATATTGATCTGTGTGCCCGCCTTCCACTAAAGATTGTTGTGCTTTAACCGTTCAAAGGTGAGTAAAGATAACTGGTTTGTGCTGTAGGGTCACAGAACAATAATCTAAAATAGAAGAACTAAGAGGAATGGAGCCAAGAAAATCATCATCAATATTGAGTTTATAAGGGATTCGTGTACACATGTGTGTGAGTGATTGTGTGTGTGTGTGTGTGTGTGTGTGAGTGTGTGTGTGTGTGTGTGTGCGTGTGTGTGTGTGAGTGT